TTGAAAGGATCAGGGAGCAAATGATGGCAAAGACCTCTCTGCCTGACACCCTTGTTCATCGCTACCAGTCAGGGAGCACAGTATCAGTCAGGAGAGATAAACAAATCTAACCTGAGAAAAGGAAATTTCTAGCCCCTTAACATGGAGTCAACAGTTAGTGAACTGGGCTCCCTCAGCTGTATGTCTCTACATTACAACTTATGAGATACCAACTGTATGTCTCCCAAAAGGAGACATTCCACAATGTCACTTATTTTTAGCATGCATTTGTACTGATCTTCCCCCCCCCTCCCCAATGGGTCCAACTCTACATAGCTTAAAATTATCTAGCCAGACAAAATCAGTTCTGAAATGCTTTATCCCTTGACCTCAACTTCTGGCCCATTTTAGCAAGGCAAAAATTCTAAGCCTTCATTTTTCTCAGAGCTTGGAAATGCTCCTTTTTGAACTATAGTTTGTTTGTTTGTATCTGAAGGGATGTTGTAGCACCTTTGAAACTAACTGTGCAAAAAGAAGTCATACTATAAGCTTTTGTAGACTTAGTATATATCTCCTCACATGCATGGAGTAGACCAAGTCTACGAAAGCTCATACTACAACTTCTTTCACAGTTAGTCTCAAAGGTGCTACAAGATCCCTTTACAAACTAACACAACTTGTTTGATAGCCCACATTTCTCCCAGTATGGGACTCAAAGCAGTCTTCCCAGAACCTCTCAGTTACCATGGATGGCTGGAGGATTCTGCATGTTTCGTCACCCCAAAAGGAAAACTTTCAAGCTCTGGGTTTAATATGCAACCTCAAAAAGAAGTAAGTAAGATTGTGGTAAACAGAGGAATTAGGACACAATCAATTTTGGCATCCATACTTTGGGAGATGGGGTGCTCCAGACTCCTACTGGTTTCAAGAGGGGAAGCCTCAATGTTTACTTGAGCATCATGTACAACAAGCATTACAGGCTCACATGCTGCTCAAAACAGGGATGCAGGATGACAAACTTTGCAATACAATGACCATCTTCTCGGTCAGTTTCACCAACATGAGTGGCCTGCTGCAAAAGACACACCTAGGAGTGAGGAATATATGTGGTGCAAATGTGTCACACTTAATTTGAACAGAACATGTGCAGTGGAAGGTCCTTGAGGATAATTTGCCCAAGGCCTTTTCATTAGAGATTTTCTCAATGGAATGTGCCCATGATATATCATGGGATGACTTTGTAATGTGAGTTTACAGTATTTTATTTGGACTTATCCAATCATTTTTTGTAAAAAACAAGAAATTATGAAATACAAATATATAGATTTTTTTTTAAGGAAAGGGGAAGATAACCAAAGTGCTGTATTATGAACAAGATCAACAAAAAATAAGTAATTCACTTATGCTATTTAGAAGTAGATTTGCTTCACATACTAGCAATGATATACTGCCACATTTTTGAATAGCTACCCTTGTTTCAATCCAATGGGGGAGGGGTATCAATAATAACACAAAAGGATGAGTCTTTTGAAAAAGAAAGGAAAATCCCTGCTTAAATATGGCTTCCAGTGATTATTTACAACCGGCCCAGCCTATGATTACTTTCTGACTCCTGAACAGAATGGAAAATGAAAACAAACACAAAAGGATGGATAGCCTATTTCCTCGTGAGAAAGAACAACCCGGGGGGGACTGGTTACACAGAAAAGACACAGCTGTTGGTGCAACCACCAATGGGCATATCATGAGGACTGGTGGGTTGCCCAACACAGATATGTTTCCAAGAACTGGGGCAGTGGGGATATGTTGGGAGATAGTTACTGGACTGAATGACAAGTGGAGTTCCACTTCATGTTGGATTCCTCCCATCCCAAAGAAATGTGGAAGTTTAGAAAGAATGTGAGGACATCCTCCCTAACACCCAGAGAAGGCCTCTCCCCTGACATCTGAATGAGGCAGCTCCTCTAGACATACCTCCTCTGAGGGCGAGTATCTGCTAGGTGTCCTTGGGAGGGGGAGAAGTTGAAAAGCTATGCACGCTTACCTGGGAGTAAGAATGAGTAGATGTGGCTACGACTACATGTAAACTCTCTGAACTTAGCCTAATATGGAAGCACCCCTTCCCCACACACCCCACACTTCAGTGGCATCCCATTGAAAGGAGATATGGTCCTACCTGGGACTCTTTCAGAGACACAGTGAGCATTCTCCTCTGTGGATGGGAACTTTGGGTTTACATAGGAGACTTACTTGTTCAAAAAGGGAAGAAAACAGTTTATGTTTCATTTCACACAGCTTGCAAAGAAAACAGAAAGGCTCTGGGTTGAGCATCTGGGCAGTGAGCACCAACCAAAATGAGTCAGGAGGCACTTTCCCCTTATTCCCAACCAGCCAGAACAATCTGGCCACAGCACCAAAAGCAAAGAAAGACAAAAATAACAGTAAGTCACAGCCAAGAAAAACACAGCTTATTAGTGGCCGTTGACCCGATGCTGTCACAGCCAACAGCTCAATCATTTCTCCATGTTCAGCCAAATAGTTCCAAGATGGCAGCCATTACTCTTGGAACCACACAACCTCAGTTTGTCTTTCTTTCAAGTTTTGGGAGAAGGGGGAGGGGATAAAGTTGGAAGAGGAAAACCCAAGGTGGTGGTGGTGGTGGTGGCATTGGCGGTATTTTGTATACACATTTAGCCTAAGGCTAAGGGAATTGAGGGCTCCCTCACATACCCGGAAGCACAATCATGGAATGCTATAAGACAGAGCAGCAAAGGTTTTCGAGTAGCCAGGAGAGGGGAAGGAGGAGGTGGACACCAGGAGAAGGAGGTCAGTCAGTTTGGTTACGTATTGGACTGGGAGTTAGGTTAATACTGAGAGTTTATACGCAGACTCAAGAGGGCACCATGCCATCTCCACAGGACAAGACCCTAAACGGCTAACTTGACGTACAAGAGACTGCAAAGTTATACTGTTAAGAAGAACACATATTTAGGGACCAGGAAAAAAGGCTGCTAAGGTGCTACTTCTAAAACTAAGTTACTTTTTTTGTTTGTTTGTTTTCCGGTTCAGAGCCCTCCCCCTCCGATGCTTCATCAGTCGTCATCCAGGGCCTCTGTTTTGATCTCGCCAGTTCCTTGCCGGGCCAGTGCCAGGATGGTATGGTTGACTGCTGCCATCTCCACAGCTAGTGAGATAGGGTCTTGGTGGTCGCTATGGCTAGTGCTGTCATCCTGCATCAATGGAGGAGAAAGGAAGGCAAAGGAAGG